AGGCATGAAAATATTTGAAAATATCTACATTCTTAATTCAAGAAGGTAGGTACTGCTCCCAATTACCTACTTTATTTTTAGAACACAAAAACAACCTTGAGGTTGGGGGCCCCCCAGATAGCATATGAACATGTCATAAGCAATGGCAAAATGTGTAGAATTGCAGGAAATGAGCTTTAACGGTCGACGTTGGGCACGAAAAACGGTCTCAATTTTCAAACAGAACTTAGTTGTGCCTTTGGTGGTTCATCGATGTGTCAATCTGGTCATGAAGGCTGTGACCGACCTAGCTAGTTCATTAGCTAAGATAGCCACTTGTAGCTAGCCAGTAACTCCTCCAGTTTGTGTTGATGTCATTTCACAGGATTTGTTTTTGGACAGAAGCTGCAGAGATCGGTAAGCAATGGCACTGCAGTAGCCAAATATCTTATTCCCCCCAAAAATGTAACCATTAAATGACCTGATATGATGGTACATTTATCAGTTATACAGTTTAAAGCAGTTATTTTGGGGTTTTGCCCAAAGTCGACCTTCTAAAGTAACTGTCCAGTGTTTCCATATTTCTATAAAATATGACCTAGAATTAATTACGATATGAGTGAAATAGTTTTCCTTCCCAAAAAAAATGGTCATTAAGTATGTTAAAGGTCCTGAACAGTCATCCTGAAAAGTATTTTTCTCTCATGGCAACTACCAGGAAGTTTGAAAAGACAGGCTGAGTGGGTGGGGAGATAATATTAATGAGTTCGCCTTGACTGACAGCTCTTTGAAATGCCTATGTAAAGCAACTTGAATGCAGTGAGCAGTGTTGCAGTATCAATGATCTCAAGCAAATTTGGTGATACACAAAGCAACTCAAACAACATTGAAACTTCATCAATTATATATTTAAGCAATATGGCCAGAGGGGGTGTGGTATATCGAAAACAGAAAGGAAAACGCTGCACAGGACCTTCCACCCCCACCTGGGATATCGATGCCTGATGAAAACCTTAGGGTCGAAACGTTGTTATAAATAAAATCACCTGGGAGCGTGAGCAGCGGTGTGCAGCGTTTTCCTTTCTGTTTTCCATGAGTTTGCCTACAACTCCAGCATCTGCGGAAAGTACCTGGATGTGCGTATGTTCTTCAGCATTTGTTGGTGTGGTACAGTATGTCAATCAAATTTAAAGCCCTTTTTATATCAGCAGATGTCACAAAGTGCTATACAGAAACCCAACCTAAAACCCCAAACAGCATGCAATGCAGATGTAGAAGCACGGTGGCTAGGAAAAACTCCCCGGAAAGGCAGGAACCTAGGAAGAAACCTAGGGAGGAACCAGACTCTGAGGGGTGGCCAGTCCTCTTCTGGCTGTGCCGGGTGGAGATTATAAGAGTACATGGCCATTAAGGCCAGATTGTTCTTCAAGATGTTCAAATGTTCATAGATGACTAGCAAGGTCAAATTATAATCACAGTGATTGTAGAGGGTGCAACAGGTCAGTACCTCAGGAGTACATGTCAGTTGGCTTTTCATAGCCAAGCATTCAGAGATCGAGACAGCTGGTGCGGTAGAGAGAGAGAGTCAAAAACAGCAGGTCCGGGACAAGGTAGTACGTCCGGTGAACGGGTCAGGGTTCCATAGCCGCAGGCAGAACAGTTGAAACTGGAGCAGCAGCAGACCAGCCGTGGTATATCAGATCATTGACCACGGGTATGACAAATAATTCATTTTTACTGTTCTAATTACGTTGGTAACCAGTTTATAATAGCAATAAGGCACCTCTGGGGTTTGTGCTATATGGCCAATATACCACGGCTAAGGGCTGTTCTTAGCACGATGCAACGCATACTTTGGCCATCATACTTTGATCTGGTTTCCTTCAAATATCATCAAATTTCATGAAAGATTTTGACTGTTCATGACCTTTAAAAAGCATATTTTCTGTGTTGGAATGGTGTGGGCGTATCCCAACAATGGAATGGTGTGGACGCATACCGGTCATAAAAATATTAATGCAAGTAGACCGCTGATTGGCCAGCTCATCCACGTCATCCTCTATGAGGAAATACCAAGCATTTTTTAAACGGTCTGTTTGGTATACAAGTTTTGGAAGTTTTTTTTTTTCCTCCAATTTATGCTTTGGACACAAATATGAGTATAGGATGAGTCAACAACATTATTTGGGTATGAGTTAACATAATATGTAAGTGAGACTTTCACTGGACAGTTACTTTTAAACAGCACATTTTTCTCTGCCCCGTTGCAAAATGTGTAGAAATGCAGGAAGTTAGTTATGTTTCCTAAAAAAAAAAAATCCCCCCAAAAAAACGTTGAAGGGGTTGGGCGGACTTCCACGTAGCCTTCCACTTACTGTATGTTGCAAACTGTTTTCAAAATGTAGAAGTAGAGGAGTTGCTTGTTGACCCCCACAATGAAATTGGGCAGGGGACCAGTGGTGTAGTCAATTTTTTTAGGTGCAGGAGTGCCCAATCATCATTTCTCAAAGTTTGTAGCCTATTGAATATCATTATAGAATATGCATAAAATGCATCCTCCAATTGCAACGCCTGGCTATGCCCACACATTGTAGCTAGGTTTGCATCCAATTGGTGACAGATTTTCATGCGAATATTCTAAAATCTGCATAAAAAGTTACATTCCCATGTACTAAATAAGAAATAAAATGTAAATGGGATTCCGTCACATTTTCAACTCTTCTGATGGTTTTGTCACAAAGAATGTTTGGTTACAGTGGCTTGCAAAAGTATTCACCTCCATAGGCATTTTTTCTATTTTGTTGACTTACAACCTGGAATTAAAATGGATGTTTTGGGGGTTTGTATCATTTGATTTACACAACATGCCTACCACTTTATTTTTTTGTGTGAAACAAACAAGAAATAAGACAAAAAAAAAAACAGAAAACTTGTGTGTGCATAACTATTCACCCTTTTGCAGCAATTACAGCTGCAAGTCTCTTGGGGTATGTCTCTATGAGTTTGGCACATCTAATGTAAAATGTAAATGTAAATGTAGCCACTGGGATTTTTGCCCATTCTTCAAGGCAAAACTGCTCCAGCTCCTTTAAGTTGGATGGGTTCTGCTGGTGTACAGCAATCTATAAGTCATACCACAGATTCTCAATTGGATTGAGGTCTGGGCTTTGACTAGGCCATTCCAAGACATTTAAATGTTTCCCCTTAAACCACTAGAGTGTTGCTTTAGCAGTACGTTTAGGGTCATTGTCCTGCTGGAAGGTGAACCTCCGTCCCAGTCTCAAATCTCTGGAAGACTGAAACAGGTTTCCCTCAAGAATTTCCCTGTATTTAGCGCCATCCATCATTCCGTCAATTCTGACCAGTTTCCCAGTCCCTGCCGATGAAAAACATCCACACAGCATGATGCTGCCACTACCATGCTTCACTGTGGGGATGGTGTTCTCGGGGTGATGTTGGGTTTGCGCCAGACATAGCGTTTTCCTTGATGGCCAAAAAGCTCAATTTTTGTCTCATTTGACCAGAGTACCTTCTTCCATATGTTTGAGGAGTCTCCCACATGCCTTTTAGCGAACACCAAACTTGTTTGCGTATTTTTTTCTTTAAGCAATGGCTTTTTTTCTGGCCACTCTTCCATAAAGCCCAGCTCTGTGGAGTGTACGGCTTAAAGTGGTCCTATGGACAGATACTCCAATCTCCGCTGTGGAGCTTTGCAGCTCCTTCAGCGTTATCTTTGGTCTCTTTGTTGCCTCTCTGATTAATGCCCTCCTTGCCTGGTCCGTGAGTTATGGTTTTTTGTGGTGCCATATTCTTTCAATTTTTTTATAATGGATTTAATGGTGCTCCGTGGGATGTTCAAAGTTTCTGATATTTTTTTTATAACCGAACCCTGATCTGTACTTCTCCAGAACTTTGTCCCTGACCTGTTTGGAGAGCTCCTTGGTCTTCATGGTGCCGCTTGCTTGGTGGTGCCCCTTGCTTAGTGGTGTTGCAGATGTTTTGACACTTAGATTGCACACAGGTGGACTTTATTTAACTAATTATGTGACTTCTGAAGGTAATTGGTTACACCAGATCTAATTTAGGGGCTTCATAGCAAAGGGGGTGAATACATATGCACGCACCACAAATTAATATACAAATGTATTATAAATACACAAAAACCATACAAAGTACTAATACAAATGTCTCTTTTTGGGTATGTAGCTGACTGTTCTGATTATATGAAGAAGTACTTTTATACAGTTAGCCTGGTCCCAGATGTAATTGTGCTGTCTATGTTTGGCCTGACAAAGTTGGCAAGACAACATAACAGATATAGGCTCAGGCTATTATATAGTCATAAGAGTGTGAGGAGTTATAATAATGAATATGTTGCCTGCAAAGGGAGGGGTTTCCCACTGAATTGCCCACAGAGTCAGGAGCTCTGTAGTTTACTCAGAGTCAGGTGCTCTGCCTATAGAGGGTGTCAGATGAGCACATAAGCATACTTCAGCAGCAACAACAAATGCTGTCATGGCAACTGTGTCTGTGTAGGACTGTCTGCCATATGTTGGCAACATAATGGAGTGTGGTGGTGGCCGACTTTGTGTCCTGACCTATGGTGTTGCCTGGGGTGGTTGGGATTGCAGTGCATTGTCTGTTATATCAGGTGTCACACCTGGGGACAGAGAAGCCATTCATAATCCAGGGAACTTGTCCATTCCCCTCAGAGACAAGAATGACATCACAAACCTCACTGTCAGTTTTTCCTGAGGATAATAGTTCATAGATTTTTTTTAAACTTGCAACTGCAGAGGAATTCGAATTCACACTGACTGTTTTGGTTAAAGCTTTATTCACTGTGTGCATTTAATCTCTTTCCAAAGACAACAAATGAGGAGAACAGTCAAATGACACCCGTAGTGGTTAGTGGTTGACAACTAGTGTTGCTGTGCCCTGTTCTTCACCATGCAGTCGTCAGTGGTTTTTCCTGAGGAGAATAGCACCCCAATGACAGCCGAGATTGAGGATTCCCTAGTATGAGCCGGAGGAGCAGTAGCAGCCCCAGCCTGTGGACCGTACTGCCTCAGAGTGGCCCTGCACCATGTAACCGCTACAAGCACGCCTGCTGCTCCTACGGGGGCAGTGTCTTTGTGTTGGGAGGGAGGGAGAGCCACTCGCTCAGGGACTTCTGGAGGTATAATGTTGGTAAGTGACTAGTCTCTGTTGACAGACTGTTAACATAGCTGGCCAGCATGCATGCAAGATTTTCTTCTGGGTTCCTTCCAAGATTAGTAAGTGTCAGATACACTATACTTTTTCTAAGTCATAATTATTATAGCTTTCTTTATATTATGACCTGGTCTGCTACAATCTGTTTATGTCAGTTATGCAGACTGTGATTCAATCGTTATAACAGTGTTATACAGTGATGTTATTACACATTAGGACTGTAGGTATGGACCTAACCACTGTCTATCTAGTATGCAATGAGTGGACAGAGTTGGACTGTAGCTGTGAGGCAGCACCTGAGGCGCTTCAAGAACATTCCATGGTGGCCTATCAGGTAGGGTGTTATCTATGTCATATGTATGGTTATATCAAGGTAATATCAATGTCATTGTATCTCAGACTGCTTAGCATTGCTGTACATGGTCGGCTTCATGTAGCTCGATGTTGATTGTAAATACATTATCTTTACAGGGTGTTCTGTATGTCTTCGGTGGAATGATTGATTCTGCGTACACTATATGGAAAACCCCCCTCTGGTTGTTTGATATTGGTAAATTCCACTGTGGTCAACATACACCTCAATAACTACTGACACAACCATAATGATCCAACAACATCCAAAACGCATCTACTCCTCACAAGAAAGGGGTGCTAAAACATGTTCAAACTTGTATCTGACATTTAAAATCCTACCTGACAACATAAGAAGTTGGTACTAGTTCACAGTTCTCATAGGGAGTGACTCCAAAGAAAAGCTGCCATACTGACTTTGTTTCTGAGTTCTGCACAGTTTTCAGTGTCCTTTCTCGTATCTCTTGCAGTGAAAGAGCAGTGGGTGTCCTGGCAGGAAAGGAACCCCCCTCAGGTATGTATTGTAATAGTAAACACTCCACATACTAGGGAAATTGAGAGTGATAATGTAACCATGCTCATTTTCCACAGCTTGCACCACTATAAATTATTAAAAGAACAGTACATATTAATTTGCATACCCTCTCATATCAAGTATGCTTTTAACTGAAATGAATGAAAAACAAAATCTATTGATTAACTAAATGTAACAACAGCATATGGCAGCTCTATAAACTGGCCCATAGCATGATGAATAGTAGTAGCTGATCGGGTAGGGTTCCCACGCCTTGTTACTGATATTGATGACATCCCTCATGGCCATCCATATGCTAACATGTTAACAGAACCAGGTGCCAGTCAACAGGAAGGGCCACAGTGCCGTGGTGTTTAGCTCTGCCATGTACATCTACGGAGGATACATTGACATGAGAGCCTCATCACAGGAGTTCTGGAAGTTAGAATTTGGTGAGTTAGACGTTTTCTATGGATAGATCATTTGGTTTTCGTGATTATCATTTAATAACAACACATTGCTGTCCCATTTCCAGAGAAAACAATAATGATGTCATGACTGTAATAAGTTTATCATTTACCAACACTTCACTTAACAATGCTTGTGTGTGTGTGTGTCCATCCATGTGTGTGTCAGACACTATGTTGTGGTCCCTGCTGGACTGTACCCAGACGGAGGTGGGTCCTGGTCCCAGACACAGCCACTCTGCCATGACCCACCTGGACTGCATGTACCTGTTCGGGGGTCTGAGAGGCCTGAGGGAGCAGAGGGATCTGTGGAGATGGAACTATACCAGTCATTCCTGGAGCTGTCTGAAAGCCACGTGAGTGATCTCTCTCTCTCTCTCTCTCTCTCTCTCTCTCTCTCTCTCTGCCTCTGGGGTTTCACTGGATACTGCAGATCTATGAAAATAGTTTTCAAGGGTTCAGGCACTGACACCTTTAGGACTATTCCATTGGTTCCATTGTACTGGGCAAGCTAAATCAAGCTCCCGTCAAGTATTTGAAAGTATTTGAAATCATGTATTTGACCCAGGTCTGCTTCAGGCACTGACAACCTCAATAGCCTTATGGAGGGCAATAACATGTAAATTATAATTTCTCTTTATGGGCTCAGTTGTTTTTTGTGGCAATTTGTTCAGCGTTTCTACTCTCAACAGGAAATGCAAAACAGCTGAAACCAGACAATGTTATCTGGCGCCTAGCCACCAGATTAATTTGCTTAACCTGTAGCATTAACCTCTCACAAACCTCTAGTGTGGAACCCCGTATTATCGGCATATTCAACAGCGTTTAAGAAATATATTACCTTCAACAGTGTTATCTTGTGATCAAGCCATCAAAGTGGTGTCGTAAAAATGTTAGCTAACAGGTTAGCAATTAGCATGTTTGACATTTCAGTGGAAATACTACTATTATCAGCTTTTTGATAAGCGGTTTAGCAAAAATAATATGTCCCGTATTATCGGCATACGGTCCCCAGTTATCGACCACCTTACTATTTTGTTCAATTACAAGATATATCGGTTTAATTTTATAGAAAAAAGAGACACCAACCTCGTATCCGAAATGTTTACTAGATAGTTGACTAGTTGGCTAGCTTCTGGTAAAAAATTATGACTTGCCTGTCAACTTTTCATTGCGTAGCCCGGTGCGCCCTCCAGTGGACTCTTAAGAAATGGTTCTACACCAACATATTCAGTGTTGTAACCAAATAATGTCTCATCGTTTGTTTTACAGATTAATCTTATGTTTTGAGAAAGTAGATAACAGTTGAATACTAAAATATAAGTTTTAATAATTTACATCAAATAAAACTTTAATTTCAGTTATGTATATTGACATAAACAATGAAAACACTGTTGGAGTTTGTGTTGCAGAGATGCACTTGGAAAGTAAAGGAAGAAATACACAAGATGGATTGAATAAATATATATATATTATATTTTAGACATACATTTTTTTGTACAAATAAATAATTTCATATAGTACACAAACAAAACAAACAATTAAATCTCGACCTCCATCCCTATATTGTCACAAAAATCACAATAAAAATCCAGCTCCACTGCTACCTCTGGATCCCACTGCACACACCTGCAGTGGAACCAGTGCTGGCAGAAGTCACAGCACATCCATGGCACCTCGGATCTGAGGGGAGCTTGCAGGCGGATCATGCTCCCCGCAGCGAGCACAGCAGGTGGTGTCTTCTTTTATAAAAAATTAAATAATAATAAAAATCGATTAATATGGTTTTGCAAAATGTAGAAGTTATTCAACAACAATAGTAATTGATACAACTGAGAGAGAGAGAGAAAAACAGATTATGAAGTACCTGAGAGTGGTGCCATGGGTGGCGTGACCAGTGGAGCTTTTCTCTTCCTTTTCTGTGCTGCAGTTTGAGAAAAAGTAGTGTTAGACAGAGCATGTTGCATAAAAACCCTTTTCTACTTTTCTACATCAATACCTCTGGAGGAAGCTGCAGAAGTTTTGGAGGAGGTGGAGATTACTTGAGGGCTGGTGCTATGGACTGTAGATATGTAAAGAGAGACCTCCAGGTCCATGTGGCTCTTGTGCCCATCGAAGAGGAGAAGGAGAAGGCGCTCCTTCACTGCATGCTTAATGAAGTGCTGAAACCACTTCCTGAACAGGTCCCCTTCAATGTAGCCACTGTTTGACCGTCCATACAAGGCTTGGGGGGGGACTCCCAGTGTGTAGTGGCCACCGGGGAAACACTTGGGGTAGATGATAAATGGGGGGATGTCCTCCCCAGCTGCATTGAAGCATGCCAGCACTGTGATGTGCTCCTAGGTCCCCGGAGCCTGCTGGTACACGTGTTCTGCGCCCCGGGGAGCCAGCACTTTGTGCCTGCTCTGGTCGCTACGAAACCCAGACTCATCGCAGTTATAGATTTGTCTGGGTTTCTCCCTCAACCCACTCTCCTCCAAGTGCTTCTCATAACAAGTGAAGAAGGTGTCCATCGTCGGATGTGTGGCACACTCAGCTCTCTCCCTGTCCAGGGTGTCCAGCCTCCTCATGCTCAGGTTCTTGTGCCTCCTCCTGAACATTTCCCACCACCTCCTCCCCAGTGGTGGGATTGTTTCCCCTGGGTGCCGAAACCTATAATAGAATAGAATATATAATTGTCCAACCAGGATGAAAATGTTTGTTTTGGCATCACCATACACAGCCACATTTACCTCACACACATTGAGAACAGTCAGTCCACCAATCTACATACATAAAAAAAAAAAATTACATTTACATTTACATTTTCGTCATTTAGCAGACACTCTTATCCAGAGCGACTTACAAATTGGTGCATTCACCTTATGATAGATTTTTTTTGGGGGTGGGGTAAGGGGGGATAGAAGGATTACTTTATCCTATCCCAGGTATTCCTTAAAGAGGTGGGGTTTCAAGTGTCTCCGGAAGGTGGTGAGTGACTCCGCTGTCCTGGCGTCGTGAGGGAGCTTGTTCCACCATTGGGGTGCCAGAGCAGCGAACAGTTTTGACTGGGCTGAGCGGGAACTGTGCTTCCGCAGAGGTAGGGGGGCCAGCAGGCCAGAGGTGGATGAACACAATGCCCTCGTTTGGGTGTAGGGACTGATCAGAGCCTGAAGGTACGGAGGTGCCGTTCCCCTCACAGCTCCGTAGGCAAGCACCATGGTCTTGTAGCAGATGCGAGCTTCAACTGGAAGCCAGTGGAGTGTGCAGAGGAGCGGAGTGACGTGAGAGAACTTGGGAAGGTTGAACACCAGACGGGCTGCAGCGTTCTGGATGAGTTGTAGGGGTTTAATGGCACAGGCAGGGAGCCCAGCCAACAGCGAGTTGCAGTAATCCAGACGGGAGATGACAAGTGCCTGGATTAGGACCTGGCCGCTTCCTGTGTAAGGCAGGGTCGTACTCTGCGAATGTTGTAGAGCATGAACCTACAGGATCGGGTCACCGCCTTGATGTTAGCGGAGAACGACAGGGTGTTGTCCAGGGTCACGCCAAGGCTCTTTGCACTCTGGGAGGAGGACACAACGGAGTTGTCAACCGTGATGGCGAGATCATGGAACGGGCAGTCCTTCCCCGGGAGGAAGAGCAGCTCCGTCTTGCCGAGGTTCAGCTTGAGGTGGTGATCCGTCATCCACACTGATATGTCTGCCAGACATGCAGAGATGCGATTCGCCACCTGGTTATCAGAAGGGGGAAAGGAGAAGATTAATTGTGTGTCGTCTGCGTAGCAATGATAGGAGAGGCCATGTGAGGATATGACAGAGCCAAGTGACTTGGTGTATAGCGAGAATAGGAGAGGGCCTAGAACTGAGCCCTGGGGGACACCAGTGGTGAGAGCACGTGGTGCGGAGACAGATTCTCGCCACGCTACCTGGAAGGAGCGACCTGTCAGGTAGGACCCAATCGAAGAGTGAGCCGCGCCGGAGATGCCCAACTCGGAGAGGGTGGAGAGGAGGATCTGATGGTTCACAGTATCAAAGGCAGCAGATAGGTCTAGAACAGGGGTGTCAAACGTCCGGCCCGCGGGCCGGATCAGGCCCGCAAACGGGTTTAATCCGGCCCGCGAGATGATTTTGTAAAGTATAAAAATGAGCTGCAATTTTACAATAAAATAAACTGCTGTTCCAATTGTGTCCACTGGATGGCGCAATAGCAATTGTGTTAAGCAAGCAAACTGTTTATACCGGGGCAGAGCAAATAGGTCAAGCAAGTGCAGCCAGTCCGGATGAGCTACTTTGTTTTGCCCGCGATATTTATTACGGCTTCTACTTTTAACATTATGTGCTTTGGCACCCTCATTGCCCCAATATGTCTCTGTCAAAAAAGAGAAAAGTGGACGCAGAGTGTTCCAAGAAGAATTGTCATCCTTCTATTTATTCACGGAATTGAATGGGAAAGCTGTATGTTTGGTGTGTTCACAGCATGTTGCAGTGCTGAAAGAATATAACCTTCGTCGCCACTATGTGAGTCTTCATGCCGACAAATATGACAACTTTCAAGGACAGCGGAGAAGAGAGAAGGTGAATGAACTGTTGGTGGGTCTGAAGAAACAGCAGTCTGTGTTTACTCACAGCCGAGACATCAGTGACGCTGCAGTGAAAGCTAGCTACCTCATTGCTAATGAAATCGCAGTGGCTTCAAAACCATTTAGTGAGGGTGAATTTGTAAAAACATGCATGATGAAGGCAGCGGAGATTGTGTGCCCTGAAAAGCACCAGGCTTTTGCAAATATCAGCCTGACAAGAAACACAGTTGCAGACAGGATTTCCGATCTTTCAGTGGATTTGGACAGCCAGTTGAAGCAAAAAGTAAAGTCATTTATTGCGTTTTCGGTTGCAATTGATGAAAGCACGGACATTACAGATGTTGCACAACTGGCCATTTTCATCCGCGGAGTTGATGACACATTGACCGTCACGGAGGAGTTCGTGGAGTTGGTGCCGATGACAGATACAACGACAGCAGCTGATATTTTCACTGCACTCGTCGGCGCGCTGGACAGGGTCGGAGTGGACTGGTCCCGCGCTGTCAGCCTGGCTACAGATGGTGCGCCCTCAATTATCGGGAAAAAAGCAGCTGGCTTGGACACATTTTATCAGAATCTCTTGCCAGGTTACCCCAACTTGACAGCCCTCGCTGCAAAACTGTTGTGCATGTTTGGAACCACATATCTTTGTGAGCAAGTTCTCTGTAATGAGCATAAATAAAACAAAGCTGCGCTCAAGGCTCATGCACAAGCTCTTGAATCACATCCTGAAGTTGGCTGCCACTCAGGATGTGACGCCTGATATTGATGCGCTGGTGAAAGCTAAAAGATGCCAGGTATCAGGAGTCAAATAAACTATGCAACCCCACTTAAAGTGCTGCATGAGACACCCTGATATAGTTCTGTGATCTGTGATATACTTCTGTGAATCACTGAGGCATTGTGTGTTTGTGTGTTCTTTTTCTTTTGAATTTTCAAATAAACTTCAGGTGTTTTATGATTAACAGTGATGTTGTGCTTGTACTATTTTGGACACACTGTCCTCAGGCTCCAGCTTTATGTTTTATGTTGATAGTATTAAAACAAAGAAAACAATCTGAAGTTGTTGTTTTTAAGTTATATATACCATGATTTTACCGGTCCGGCCCACTTGGGAATAGATTTTCCTCCATGTGGCCCCTGAGCTAAAATGAGTTTGACACCCCTGGTCTAGAAGGACAAGAGCAGAGGAGAGAGAGTTAGCTTTAGCAGTGCGGAGAGCATCCGTGACACAGAGAAGAGCAGTCTCAGTTGAATGACCAGTCTTGAAACCTGACTGGTTTGGATCAAGAAGGTCATTCTGAGAGAGATAGCAAGAGAGTTGGCTAAAGACAGCACGCTCAAGAGTTTTGGAGAGAAAAGAAAGAAGGGATACTGGTCTGTAGTTGTTGACATCGGAGGGATCGAGTGTAGGTTTTTTGAGAAGGGGTGCAATTCTCGCTCTCTTGAAGACGGAAGGGACATGGCCAGGGGTCAAGGATGAGTTGATGAGCGAGGTGAGGTAAGGGAGAAGGTCTCCGGAAATGGTCTGGAGAAGAGAGGAGGGGATAGGGTCAAGCGGGCAGGATGTTGGGCGGCCGGCCGTCACAAGTCGCAAGATTTCATCTGGAGAGAGAGGGGAGAAAGAAGTCAAAGCATAGGGTAGGGCAGTTTGAGCAGGACCAGCGGTGTCATTTGACTTAACAAACGAGGATTGGATGTCGTCAACCTTCTTTTCAAAATGGTTGACGAAGTCATCCACAGAGAGGGAGGAGGGGGGGGAGGAGGGGGAGGAGGATTCAGCAGGGAGGAGAAGGTGGCAAAGAGCTTCCTAGGTTTAGAGGCAGATGCTTGGAATTTAGAGTGGTAGAAGGTGGCTTTAGCAGCAGAAACAGAGGAAGAAAATGTAGAGAGGAGGGAGTGAAAAGATGCCAGGTCCGCAGGGAGTCTAGTTTTCCTCCATTTCCGCTCAGCTGCCCGGAGCCCTGTTCTGTGAGCTCGCAATGAGTCATCAAGCCACGGAGCAGGAGGGGAGGACCGAGCCGGCCGGGAGGATAGGGGACATAGAGAGTCAAAGGATGCAGAAAGGGAGGAGAGGAGGGTTGAGGAGGCAGAATCAGGAGATTGGAGGGAGAAGGATTGAGCAGAGGGAAGAGATGATAGGATGGAAGAGGAGAGAGTAGCGGGAGAGAGAGAGCGAAGGTTGTGACGGCGCATTATCATCTGAGTAGGGGCAGAGTGAGTAGTGTTGGAGGAGAGCGAGAGAGAAAAGGATACAAAGTAGTGGTCGGAGACTTGGAGGGGAGTTGCAGTGAGATTAGTAGAAGAACAGCATCTAGTAAAGATGAGGTCAAGCGTATTGCCTGCCTTGTGAGTAGAGGGGGACGGTGAGAGGGTGAGGTCAAAAGAGGAGAGGAGTGGAAAGGAGGCAGAGAGAAAGTAGTCAAAGGTAGACGTAGGGAGGTTAAAGTCACCCAGAACTATGAGGGGTGAGCCATCCTCAGGAAAGGAACTTATCAATGCGTCAAGCTCATTGATGAACTCTCCAAGGGAACCTGGAGGGCGATAAATGATAAGGATGTTAAGCTTGAATGGGCTAGTGACTGTGACAGCATGGAATTCAAATGAGGAGATAGACAGATGGGTCAGGGGAGAAAGAGAGAATGTCCACTTGGGAGAGATGAGGATTCCTGTGCCACCACCCCGCTGACCAGATGCTATCGGGGTATGCGAGAACACATACATAAACACATAAAACACCAAATACTCTCAGGGTATACATACATAAACACATAAAACACCAAATACCTGCGTATTTTGTCGGCGTATTTCATCAGCTTCTGTCTGGTGAAGGGGATCCCATGGCTGGGGCAGTAGATACAGTACTGCACCAGAGAATTTTCATCCTCTGGTGCAAGCAATGTGGGTGGTCCACTGCAACAACCATGGGTCACCCGGCCGCTCAGCCTGTCCGCCAGGGTCTGCCGAGGTACACCATGCACCTTGGTAGATAAGAAAAACTGTTACTAGCAGATCAAATTCACATACACATGGTAATCTCCTAAAAACAAAAGATGCCTAATCTTGGCAGCCTGGCGGATAGCCATCCCTGCCCCGCAGTCCTCCATGGCATGGAACATGTCCACCTCACTCCACTGCTTCCTCTTGACTTTCTCCATGCTGTGGTGTTAATACATGTAGCTAAATAACTTTGCATACTATACACATTTTAGAAAGATAACTCAATCTGAATATGTATAAACATTTACATTTCAAATCTAAGGCATTGAAAGGTGATGAAAGTTTTCACAATAACTGAAAGTGTACCCACGTTTTTTGTTTGATGTTTTCTGTAATGAAAATGTGTGTCCCAATTAGATTAATATTGATGCATACATTGTAACATTTGACTAAATACTGCCTCTATGTAGCTGTTGTAAGATGAAACATAGCCAACAGTGATGTGTAAAAAAGTTCATGGTTCGAAGTTCCAAATACATTTTTGCAGATTGTGCAAAACGCCTCCGTCATAGGACTCCAATTTTGATACGGTAAAGCTTGACAACATTCAGCTGTTTTCGTGATATGTATTATCTAACGCTTACAATTTCTTTCCTTTTTGCTTACTTAGCAGTTCTATCAACATTTAGCAACTAAGCTAGCAACATTAGAAAATCCGTTAGCTATATTTCAGAGGTAAAAAGTTGGATATTAAATGATGTGTGGTCTGTCGCGCAGTCTAATTTTACAATATGCAGCGTGTTCCACAAAATGTGTACATATATAACTTTTTTGAAAACTCTCAAAACCTAACTTAACTTACATAAATTGCACTGAAAATCGGTGGTCAGCTAGCTAGAAGGGTGTCATTAGTCGCAAAACTTACCGTTCTTTTCCAGTCCATTTAAATGTTGAGCTCGAGGTGATTTAGTCCTCCAACCGCTAGAGAGTGTCCGAAGTTAGGGGCTGTCTGATGTTGGGGGAAAATTAGCTATCGTCATTCACTTTCAATTGTTACATTTGAATAAATCATTTGGATCTATTGTGCAGTTTATGTACACACAGCACATGGAGTAAATCAACAATCTAAATGATATTATCTTTTCCATACAAAGCAAAAAAACTAACAATAGACGAATTGTGTCGGTTGTTTAACCATGCGTTGTGTTGTTTTTCCTTCCTTCCTGTCTGTCCTGTGGATGTGTTATACAGGTCAGGCCCCTCTAAGCTGGTGGGCCACTCAGCATTGGTCTACCGGGACAGCATGCTTCTGTTTGGAGGAGGAGAGAGCCAGCACACCCCCAGGAGCTGTCTATGGAGGTACAGCTTCACCATTCAGACCTAAGTCACTCTACACATTTTGAATGGCGTTTCTATCTTAAACGGTGTAAGAGAAATAGTGTCCTAAATTTACATTTTACATTTTAGTCATTTAGCAGACGCTCTTATCCAGAGCGACCTACAGTTAGTGAGTGCATACATTTTCATACTGGCCCCCCGTGGGAAATAATAATAAATAATAGTAATAACTATAAGTCAGAAGTAAGAGAAAGATCTAGAGTGTGCTTGCTGAAGCAAGCTACACTGAATATATAATATAATAATATAAGATATGTAATTTTGCAGATGCTTTTCATCCACAGGTACAGCTTCACCACCCAGACCTGGGGTAAGCTAGCCGTGCTACCCGGCTCCAACCCACCTCCCCACAGGATCTACCACTGCTGTGCCGGCCTGGGCCCCAACTACCAGCCTGCCGTGACCACCACCACCAGCACCACCCTGACCCCCAGCACCACCATCAGAAATAGCCTGGACAGCAAGATACGGCCGTTCAAGAACAAATGCTTCCCATCCTCCTCAGAGACAGAGGGCACTATAGAGCTGGAGACGTTTAGTAGCTCGGAGAAGCTATTCACTGAAGTGGGGGACTATTGTAATGGTCTAAGTAGGAAGGACGCTCAGCGGATCGAGAACTGTCTGACCTTTGAGAACCAGGAGGCCTTCAGTAAACAGTGGAGCTGTGAGGATATGGAGGAGGATGGTTCAGGTAAACCAGAGGAGAGCCATGAGAGCATTGCACAAAACCTGCCTGATTTGCTACTGGTGCTGGGGGGAAAGCCCTTAGTTGGACATACGGTCATATCTGTGTGGCAGATGACACTGGCTGACCTCTGACCTTTGACCTCTGACCCAGAGAGAGAGGGATGGCATTTTGTAAACTATTTAAAAGAAAACTCGATATATTCTATGGAAATGTATCACAAAGCGGGGGGGTGATGCAGCTGCATAGCGTTCCCCTGCTAAGGTGTAATTAGTCCACATAATTTTGACTGAGTCCCAAATATACTGTACATATCTTAATCTTTGTTAATTCAGCTGAATAATCATTCAGATTTAAGAAAACAATTCAGCAAATCTATTTAGCAGATTATTTTTTATTTTATTTTTAACCTATTGTGATGAGTGTGATGAAAGGAGTTAGGCGCAGGAGGGTAAACACCGAATACAGAGTTTATTCCTTCGTTGACACATAAATGCGCTCAAATAGCGATCAACGAAACAGGCACAGGGGAAACTCTAATCCCTGGCAATACACTGTAACGGTAGAATCCAATAAAATATAGGCACAGGGGAAAATCTACCCTGGCAACAAAATGTACGAGTAGCTCCACCGAGCTATACTACTCTCACAACTAACAATCACCCACAAGGACAAGGGGGCAGAGGGAACACTTATACACAGACTAATGAGGGGATTAGAACCAGGTGTGTGTGAATGACAAGACAAGACAAATGTGATGATGATTGGGGCGGCAGTGGTTAGTAAGCCGGTGACGACGAACGCCGAAGCCTGCCTGAACAAGGAGGGGAGGCGGCCTCGGCCGAAGTCGTGACACCTATATTCCGAAGTGTTATGTTTTAGATTTGTATTTTCTTTAGGAATGTAGTGGAGTAAAAGTAAAGGTTGTCAGTAAATAAATAGTAAAGTACAGATACCCCATAAAACTACTTAAGTAGTACTTTAAAGTATTTTTACTTAAGTACTTTACACCACTGAAAACCGGTCAGTAAGGGCAATGGTGAGAGCTATTACCATCAAGTAGGGTGTGGAAGGGGATGGCGTATGAGCGTAAACTCTGGCTCCGAGGGTCGAGTGTCGAGTGTTCAATCCCAGTGCTAGGCACTCGTTTAGAATTTTGGGATTTTAACCCTATCCCAAACCTTAACTCTTACCTTAACAATTTGGAATGAATGCCTAAACTTAACCTTCGAAATGTATGTTAATGGTAAAACATCAGATTCTGCAATGACACTGTGAGAGCTTGTTGGTCATTCCACCAATTAGGTGCCCTTGAGTAGTAAAAAACCCAGTTTTATTTCACTTAATTTTAACATTCTGTCATAAAGAACAAATGTTCAACTTCATAAAAAACATGTTTTTCCATCTCAACAGGTTAAATTAAAAAAGGACTATAGTAAGTTCCTGTTAAAGTAAAGATTCACCCATTTTGAATATTATATTGTTTTTGTGCATCTCTGAGCAATGTTCTATCGGTTCCCTGGGTCAATTCATGTTTTCATGTGTATCTGAGAAATTGCTGTTCATACAGACAGAAATTTGGCAGGTATGAGGTAGCGTTGAGATAAAGCTGCTCTCACTACTCTGGAAGTTAATAGGATAACGACTTTTAGATCGCGAAAACGTCTATCATACATGTCAGATTTCAATACTGGCCGATGTCATAACGCGGTAGGTTGTCTTCTCTCGAATGAGCCATTGATCATATTGTAATGACCCGGGTTGGGTTATAAAGGAAAAGGAGACGGACACCAGGTGTGCAGGGCAGAACACAGGTTTATTCCTAAACTGAGCTATTGTTCAGGCCACAGCCCACGCCGCTAAATTCAGAACGTACGCAAATACACAATGTCATGTTAAGTGGCAGACTCATAGGAGCAGGTCAGGACCCCGAATAGAAAGAGAGAGAGATGAGACAGTAGCCCCTATTTATGCATTTCAAAACCCTGCGGGATTACCCATCATACCCCCCAACCTTTCTGTCTGTCCTGGCATATTTAACCCCTGCTAGCACCCATGAGAACAATAACACACCCACGAACACAGAACACAATACCGGGTCGTTACAATATTTCTGCGATATTCCTACCTCGAGAAACTTGTAATTGAACAGAGGGTCTAACACATTTCTCATATAAAGCTGGAGACGTTTAGTAGCTCGGAGAAGATATTCCCTGAAGTGGGGGACTATTGTAATGGTCTAAGTGGGAAGGACGCTCAGCGGATCGGAAACTGTCTGACCTTTGAGAACCAGGAGGCCTTCAGTAAACAGTGGAACTGTGAGGATATGGAGGAGGATGGTTCAGGTAAACCAGAGGAGAGCCATGAGAGCATAGCACAAAATCTGCCTGATTTGCTACTGGTGCTGGGGGGGGGAAAGCCCTTAGTTGGACACACGGTCATCTCTGTGTGGCAGATGACACTGGCTGACCTCTGACCTTTCCTATCGGACCTTGTAGTCATGGCAGATAATATTCAAATTTTTGGTGACTTTAATATTCACATGGAAAAGTCCACAGACCCACTCCAAAAGGCTTTCGGAGCCATCATCGACTCAGTGGGTTTTGTCCAACATGTCTCCGGACCTACTCATTGCCACAGTCATACCATGGATCTAGTTTTGTCCCGTAGAATAAAAACTGTGGATCTAAATGTTTTTCCTCATAACCCTGGACTATCAGACCATCATCTTATTACGTTTGCAATCACAACAAGGACCATCATAAGCTCTGTCAGATTTCAATACTGGCCGATGTCATAACGTAGGTTGTCTTATCATATTTTTGCGATATTCCTACCTCGAGAAACTTGTAATTGAACAGAGGGTCTAACACATTTCTCATATTTGTCTGCCTCTTCAGTCCAGGGTGCATTGCATGGTGCCATTGCAAATGTTAGACACCAGTCTGAGACACCTCGATCTGCAGATGAGATTGTAGACTCCTAAATTGATAGTGCAGTTTGTTTAGGTGATTTTACAGCTAACTAGCTACTTCACATGCTGATATTGATTGTGTGTAGCTAGGTTTGCTAGCTAGCTACCTTGCCAGCCCATAGAGAGAGAATTGCAATGTGGGTTTTGTAGTCAACTTGAGCTGCAACAGATTTCCACAACAGTTTTCACATGTTGCTACCAACCTTATTATAACGAAAAAATGAAATATTTGTTCACCCAAAAATATTGTTCTCACATATTAGTGTTAGGTAACACTGTAAATTATAGGAATGAGTGGTTTTGGGTGGATTTCTCATTTAAGTGCCTAATACAGTAACAGGGTTGACCTTAACAGGGTTGACAACTGTAACAAAGGGATTTAAATCATCCATAAATCCCCTTGTGACGGGGGAATGAAAGCTTGTTTTGTGCAACCGGGAAGGGCTTTACAATGATGGTGAAAACTTGATGAGAAGGCACAGAGTTGTCAAAAGCATTTATTCATATTAAAAAATCTGTCTGTTATGCATATGCTGATAAATATAAAATATATTACATATATATGCAATGTGCTCTCACTCCACATGATGGCGCCAGGTACCAACGAAGATTGTTGGTAGTTCACACACAATCAATGAATGAACACAGTCAAGTGGCTACAGAGAAGCCTTTACAGGAATGGCCCCATGGGCAAAATGACTTTGACCCCTGGTCTAAAGGCTCTCTCTGTCAATCATGATGAAGACCACTGAATATGGGCATGATTTAGAGTGTAGTAGGCCTATGAAGCAAAAGCCCTGTTGAGTCATGTTGCTTTGACCCTATTTGTGCAGTGGTATAGGGTTCAGCTTCATGAATGGCATAAATGATTATTAGAATTCAAGGCACACTTAACCAGCATGGCTACCACAGCATTCTGCAGCGATACGCCATCCCATCTGGTTTAGGTTTAGTGGGACTATCATTTGTTTTTCAACAGGATAATGACTCAACACACCTCCAGGCTGTGTAAGGGCTATTTTACCAAGCAGGAGAGTGATGGAGTGCTGCATCAGATGACCTGACTTCCACAATCCCCCGACCTCAACCCAATTTGAGATGGTTTGGGATGAGTCGGACGGCAGAGTGAAGGAAAAGCAGCTAACAAGTGCTCAGCATATGTGGGAACTCCTTCAAGACTGTTGGAAAAGCATTCCAGGTGAAGCTGGTTGAGAGAATGCCAAGAGTGTGCAAAGCTGTCATCAAGGCAAAGGGTGGCAAATTAAAGAATCTCAAATATAAAATATATTTTGATTTGTTAAACACTTTTTTGGTTTCTACATGATTCCATATGTCTTATTTCTAAGTTTTGATGTCTTCATTATTATTCTACAATGTGAGAAATAGTACAAATAAAGAAAAACCCTTGAATGAGTAGGTGTGTCCAAACTTTTGACTGGTACTGTACATCAAGGTCTAACAGCCCTTGCTTTCTGGTCGTCATCTTGGCACTTTCCTCAAAAATAATGAACAGAGAGTTTTCAGATTAATGACTCAACAGTGTAGTGGATGTTTACGCAATGGGTGGCACTGTTTATTTTATTTTTCCCTGTGCGTAAAAGCGCACAGATGGCACGGGCCTTTCAGTATGAACACTGCATTATGAACAGTATCCCATTGCAGTACATTTCCAAAATGTATCTATAAGTCCCGAGTTATCTACGTACAAAACACAGAAACAGAGAAACACACACACACACAGGCCTATGTCCCTATGTGACTATCTAACAAAGCTTCTGCCTGGAAAAATAAATATACTGTTGCCTAATCCACGACCACGCTTGAACGTTGGCTAATGCGACAGTTCACTTGCCACACTAACCTACATCAAGGTCAGGACGTGTTGATATATTTAGACAGCCTTTGCTTTCTGATCGGCGTCTTGGCACTTTCCTCAAATAGAATTAACTGAGGTTTCAGATTAATGGCTCAATAGTGTAGTGAAAGTGTTTCAACAAAAGGTGGCGCTGTTTATTTCGTTTTTCCTCGTGTGTAAAAGCGCACAGATGGCACGCATCTTTCAGTATGGACACTGCATTATGAGCGGTATCCCATTGCAGTCAAGTAATTTGCCTATCATGGGTTATCTACATACAAAACCGAGTCGTTCAATGTCGGAACTTGTGAGTACCTTACAAAAATGTGACGGTTAAAACACATTGTGTGTGTGTGTTATGTGCGTCCGTGTTTATATTTGTTCGTTTCATCTGTTTGTTTGTTTCAGATACCGTAATACCAACATATAGGCCTATATAAAATCCTTCCATTGCCGAAATAGCTCCATATTTATTAAAAATGACAATCTGTTTTAGGCTTATAATAATAAATAAATAAATTATGAGGTAATGAAGTGTAAAATCATAATGTAGAAATTTATATTTGGGGTTAAAAGGTGTCACTACTGTATTCTAGTGCTTTTTATTGTAACCATAGGAAAGTCTTCCTCTCTCCATCCTGCGCTATGCTTTCCTTCCAGATAGTTTTAGCAGCGGTGTATAATCCCTTGCGTCCTGTTGGTGGAACTCCCCACGTGGTTTCAACTCCTGTATAAAAACTTTCGGTGTGCGGTGGGCTCCGTGTTGTGATTGCAAAGGAGAAAATTGTAAAGATAGCAGCATCTCTTTCAGGACGCAGAGTCGTCCCATACACAAGCGCATAAGGTAGTCTACTCAAACTCACCAGTAGACAAACAAGACAGTGATCTAGGGATGAGTTGGGTATGAATTGGATTGCAATTTAGTTGGATTCCTAAAGTTGCGTTTATAGGAGTGATTTTAATGTAAAGGCAGTGGTAACCTCATATTCGCGACTTCACATCAGACGTTTCGCCTCCTGATCGACGGATACAAAGCCCGCGTACCGGTGAGATACTAAATGTGGTTTGCAAAGGTTATGGAATGTAATAATTCGTTTTGTTAAGTTTGAAGTAATGGCATGCCAGACGCGGTAGTGCCATTCAGTTAGCCTCCAACACACTGTGATCATTTCGAATTCGCCGGTCAAGAACGCCGGTCAAGAACCAGCACCTCTGGAATTGTGCTTTAGAGGAGAACTGGACTGTAGTGCACTTCACAAAAAGGACCCAAGCTTTACAGGGCTCGAGAGGAAGCAAATAAGAAAATATGGAATAATCAATTTGCTCTTGACAGCAACCTCTTTGGAATACAAAAACCACATGGACTGTTTTGGATTACCCTAACGTGTGCATCAATCATAGTTCCATGTGTAAACTATTCCCGGTGGCCCAGGGGTAGATATTTACCGGGATGGAAAACTTGTGAAGTAGCCTAACCCTCTTTCTTTGCTCTCTGTATTCAATAACCAAAATTCTTCCTCTCCAGCGTGCTTGGGAATTCCAGTCTCAAAAAGAGAAAATGAGAAGATATAATCTCACATTGGCTTGTTTAATGGCTTGCATACTTTCCATCCGCTGTACTTTGGGCACAACGGTTACGGGTACGGGCACAACTGGGGCAGAGACTCAAACCGTCGCCCAGGAGTCGTGCGCTTCGTGCGGAATGCCGGAGGCGTCAGAAAGGGTGGATATAGACTTATTGGAAGCAGTCAAGAGGCACATCTTGAACAGGCTACAAATGAGAGAAAGACCCAACATCACTCATCCTATCCCGAAAGCGGCGATGGTGACAGCGCTGAGGCGGCTTCACGCCGGTAAACTACGAGAAGACGGAAGGGTTGAGATCCCCAACCTTGATGGACAGGCTGCCTACAGTAACGAGGTGCAAGAGACGTCGGAGATAATCAGCTTCGCAGAATCAGGTAGCCTAATTATCAATAATCAGAGCATTTATCTAACTCTCATTTCTCTCCCTTTATTTTCCTGAGTCATGACTACATTTCAAAAGGTGTAGTAGTAGCATTTAGCACGTTTTCCACTCCGAGGATTCGAGGAATTACTATTCATATCAGGACAGCCATAATTGCGCAGGCTACAACCCTACATAATCACGATATAATTGCCTCATAAACGAGATCGAATGCCTCATCTGATGGGATTTAGTGGGTTTCGTAAAGTTCTCAACCCAGATATGTGTAGTCTATTATAGCCAATGCCTTTAATTTTCGTTTTCTGTTTCAAAGATAGGCTACTATTTCCTTAAAATTCAAGTGCTTTACAACTGTCTTTCACTAAGTCAACATGACGCATAACATTATTCAACTTGCATGCATTCATTAATTTATTCATTCATTCATTCATTCATTCATTCAACAACTCATTATAGAATCAAACCTTAAATGACCCCCATGTGTTGTCTAGGGAATAGTAAAGAACCCTGAGTCCCATTTCAGCAGTAAAACGTGCTTAGGCATAGAGCTCTATTTTAAGGGAAAACCCACTCAATTGGCCATTTATCGAACTTTCTAAAAATGTGTATGTAGCTAAGTCTTAAGGGTCCAAAGAGAAACCCCTCCTTTCCCCCTTCATGTACACACAAACATACACACACACACACACACACACACACACACAGAGAGAGCGAGACACACAGAGAGACACACAGAGAGACACACACACACACTCAAATCTATTGTCTGTTAACAACTGAAACCCATAATTGCCAGGTTAGTGCGGTGAGAACATAATATTTTTAGATGTTTGTTTGTTTAGCAGTGAAAGCATACCATTAAGAAACAAAGTGAGATGCCGGTCCCACAGTGCAATGCTGTAGCACACAGTATACATTCAGCCTGGATGGGTTCCTAGCTGTCGCCCTCCAATAGGAACAATGGCGATTCTAGCATGTAAATCTTGGTGGGGAAAACATTTTTATTGTGGGATGCATGCCAACAAAGCCACTAAACAACACAATACTAAACAATACATTAATTGCACTATAATGGTGACAAACGGTGCCCACAAACTGTTAGGGCCTACATAAAGCTGTCCCAACAGCAGAGTCCCAACAGCAGTCCCAACACCTTACCACTGCTACACCTGGCTATCAGCGGAGCCTTGTCTGGCAGTGAAACAGTTCATTCAGCCTCATTTACTGCCTTTAAAAAAACATAGCTGATATGGCTGACTTGCTTAAACAAATGTGGTTTCTACTGACAATTGAGATGTACAAACTATGGCATAAGGGGACGACAAGCAGATAAGAGGCAATCCGAAATTTCGATTAAGACATTAATGAGCGAGCCAGGACAGACGTAGTCAAAATAACTATTTGGTCAGCACTTTTGAAATGTACAGCAACAGAATTCAGAACATGGGCCGTTCTTACAGTGTTCTCCCTGTACACCAAGTCAGAACCGTAGGATAAATAAAGGGGGCATATAAGCAGACAATGAAAGCTCTTACAATATTCGATGATTACATTTCTCAAAAACAGGTTATAGGCTACACATGCACCACTGAGTCAGAACAGTAGGCGAAATTAAGAGGTGAAAATATACCAAATTATTAGGGTGAGGTACATGGGCTACTAACAGCTTACTACACAACAGTCACTTAGTATTACTTTCTTAGTTACAGTATACATATCTCCCTGGCATATTACATCATTTATGCAGCAGCATATAAGACATTTTTGGACTCATCTTGATGTGATGTGCTCACTTGAACAGGAAGGTGGCGCGGCGGTCCTTTGTGGGCAAATTTTGTCATCAAAGAAAGAGAAAGAGGCCGGATTTACAATTCTGAGTTGGATGACCGTTCAAAACATATTTTCCCAGTCTGAGCTCATTTATTCCCGACTTCCCAGTTGCAATGCTTGCAGTTAGCCACTGTCACCGATTCCTTCCAAACCACTCATTGTTGAATTTGCGATTTCCAACTTGTTGTGTGATGTTTACGTTTTATCTATAATTTCTCTTCGTTATTTCTCTTCATATGACAAGGATTAAAAAGGATTTGCCAGTAGATTGTTGACTTGATTCATGATGATGACTGCTAGCTAAGATTATGAAAGTAAGATGTTGACATGATCAGTCCAATCAAAGCTACTGTACATATAACGTGATTTGACATCATTATATCTGTGGCGAATGACATTGAGCCTTCTTGGAAGGGCACTTCTAATGTAACTCTATGGCAGGACCCAAAGGGCTTGAATTTTCGATGTCTACCCTTACTAAGGACTTATACTTGGCGGTGACATAGTGTCCCCATGAGTGACAGAACACTGAGACAATCACGGCGCAATGCTCCTATTTTCTGCTGGTTTACCCCACCACCACAGAAAGCACTGAGCTAGGCTGAAACACCTGCATTGTGGAGCTGCTTTACTCAAGAAAACCAAAAAGAGACCATGTTTGTATGCAGCTTTATTAAGTCAATGATATATTCATTTTTTTACATTGTTTGCAAACTGATATGTGACACGTATTAATGCCAAAATAAGATGCAAAACAGGCAAGGCAAAAAAAAAAATATATATATATATATTTTTTTTTTTTTTTTGCTAAAATGTGGGGCTCAAAACAGGTGGGGCTCTGCCCCACCTGCCCTGAATGACGGGTCGCCACTGAATAGGAATGATGTGAGCACACTCATGACAAGGGAACAAAAGCAAGGCAATTATTGGGAGAGCACTGTGCATTCTTGCTAAACCCAATATGTCAACATTCAGAACAAAAAGCATGAGAAAACAAAAGAAAACGCTCAGAATAATGCATGAGACATTTGAGTCGCCGGTCGTGGGTTCGGGGGATGGAGAGATGGAGGAGGGGGGAGGGGGTGTATGGTGTGCCCATATCTCAGTTTTCTAAAGAATGCTTTTGTCATATAAAGGTTCATCCAACCAGGCCTCTTTGCTTTTTTCCATTATACACGATACCTTTGAGCCTTTGTGCAGCATTGTGCCATGGAACTGGCTTTGCTCCCTGCTCTCTAGACCCCCTCTGCCTTCAGGCCAGCTGGCACTCACCCCCAGAGCCCAGGCTGCCAGCAAGGGCATGGAGAGAGGGACAAGGCCCCTAGATCGGCCTGGAGAGAGGCAGCTAGACCAGGCCCAGGCACAGGCCGGGACCCAAGCAGAGGGACTTTAATGATGATGTCACTGTCAAAGATCAAGGTGTGTAGGTAGGGGCCTATGGGAGTTTCTGGTGCGCATTACTGGATGGCTGGTAGGGGCCTAGGGAAGTTTGTGGTGGGCGTTACAGAATGGCTGGTAGGGACCTAGGGGAGTTTGTGGTGGACATTACTGGATGGCTGGTAGGGACCTAGGGGGAGTTTGTGGTGGACATTACTGGATGGCTGGTAGGGACCTAGGGGAGTTTGTGGTGGACATTACTGGATGGCTTGTAGGGACCTAGGGGGAGTTTGTGGTGGGCATTACTGGATGTCTGCAAAGTATCAGGCAAAAAAGTGTTGTATGAAGGTGTGGGACGCTGTCCTCTCTAGAGCGAGCCAGCTATAGCTCTTATCTCTTAGTCAGCATTCAGTCTCATGACCGCCTAGCAGAGCAGAGGCTGAGGCTTGCTGCCAAGGTTCCAGGTAAGGAACAGTGCCAAGCACCCATCTCTTATGACACAGTCCCGCGTACCCTCGCTTTGGTGGAGGGATTCAATGTCCCGTAACCACGGGAGCGGAGCGGAGTGCAGGGGGAGATGTGTGCATCTCGATTGTCGTTGGTATAGCCGCTTGGACCTGTTGAACTCCCTGTGACTCCGGTCCAAGACACAAATGAGGACTTCATTATTGGATGTCATTAACTCTGGCCCAGTCCTTGGGGTGTGTCCCAAATGGCACCCTATTCCCTAAATAGTACACCAATTTTGACCAGAGCTTTATATAGGGAATAGGGTGCCATTTGGGATGTTGCCCTCACAGGCCTATAGGGCTGGCTGCTTGGTTTACTCTGGTACAGTCTTTCATGAAGACACGTCAATCATGCCCTGTCTGAAGCTGCTCCAGGCCGCTCCACACACACACTCAATCCAAGTGTGTGTGTGTGTGTGTGTGTCAGGTGCTCTGACTGACTGTAGATTCACCCCTTGCTCATACATCATTATGCATGTGCTGATTTTCAAAGCTTTTATTAAACCATCAAGAGTTAAGCTTTTTAAGTACAACTTCAAACTCACTCCTCCACCACTACCAGCAAAGCAGCTTACTAACTACTGGCCAAAAGTCCAGCTCTATGGGGCTTTATGGGGCTCTATGGGGCTCTCTGGGGCTCACCCTGACCTGCTCTGCTCTTTTCCCCTCTCCTCTCCTATTTCCCTGTGTGGGAATTGCTGGAGTGCTGAGCTGAGCGCTGTGCTCCAGCAGCCTAAGGGATGCCTGTCAGAGCCGTGTGTGTGTTTGTGTGTGTCTGACTGCGAGGCAAGGCTCATGTCAGCACAACGTTGCTCCGCGGCATTTGGTCTCTGTCGACACAGACTTTGAGTAATGAGCATAGCACCCTGCTACATGCATGCGTACACACACACACACACACACACACACACACACACACACACACACACACACACACACACACACACACACACACACACACACACACACACACACACACACACACACACACTGCCTGTCGGCCTGTCTGTCTGTCTGCCTGTCTGTCTGTCTGTCTGTCTTCCTGCCTGCCTGTTTGTCTGGCTACCTGGCCTGCCTGACCTGCCTGCCTGTCTGCTTACCAATTTCTTTGCCTGCCTGCCTGCCTGTTTGTCTGCCTGCCTGTCTAACTACCTGCCTACCTACCTAACTGCCTACTAGGGCTAGGAATTGCCAGTGATCTCACAATACGATATCATCACGATACTTAGGTGCCGATACGATATGTATTGCAATTCTCACGATTCAAATGATTTTATATGTATTGTGACTCAATACTGCGATTTTAATGCGATTTGATGTTCCAGACATTCAGTATTGCTCGCTATACAGTATGTCTGCTGCAGAGAGACATGAGAGAGCATGAGAAAATGAGTTATGATCAGTAATGTAAACAAAATGGCTGAAAACATGTTGGCTTACTATTTAAAATGAAGATGGAGAAGAAGCTATAGGATGAAAAATACCATCGTTTTGGCGCAGGTCCAGCCAACTAGCGTTAGCTAATGCTACCTAGCAAAAATAAATAAATACATATTTTTTACAAATCAATACTTGGAGTCAAAGTAATGATATAAATAGTCCCATTTCCCCCCCATCACTACTGCCTACCTGTCTGCCTGCCTATTTATCTGCTTGCCTGCCTGTTGTCCGTCCGTGTCTCTGTCTGTCTGTCTGTCTGTCTGTCTGTCTGTCTGTCTGTCTGTCTGTCTGTCTGTCTGTCTGTCTGTCTGTCTGTCTGTCTGTCTGTCTGTCTGTCTGTCTGTCTGTCTGTCTGTCTGTCTGTCTGTCTGTCTCCTCTCTCTCTCTCTCTTTCTCCCTGCCTGCCTTTTTGTCTGCCTGATTGCCCACCTGCCTACCTATCTACCTGCCTGTCTGCCTGCCCTGTTGTTGTGTTGGTGCCACAGGTGGGGACACGCTTAGGCAGCTGTAGCTCCAGCAGTGCTAGCTCCATCCAGAGAGAGAGAGGCCAACCCAGATATCACCCTCACCTCCCATCCCCTGCCCTAACCCTGCCTGGCCCAGGAGCACATTGACCCCAGTCACACTCAGGCAGCACACCTCCTTGTTTAACTGGTCTCCTCCGTAACCTCCTCCCTCACCTCACCTCCTTCCTGAACTCACCTCCCTCTCACCTAACTCACCTCCCTAAAGCCTGGTTCAAGTACTGGCTATGTGTTTTTGTGGGATTTTAGAAAAGCAAAGAAAAGGTAAATAGTTTAAGTGTTTTCTAGCATGATGATTCTCAATCCACTTCAGCATCCAGTTTAATGTGGCCTAACATATTGGTCATAAAAAAAATATATGTATTTTTTTCACAGATGGGATATAGGGGTAAAGCTACAGATACACTCCACCGCATTTTTTTACAAGATCATATGACCATGCTTCAGTCCAGACTGTAGTATCTTTGTTGTTAGAGATTCAGACTGCCATCTTTCTCCACTCAGCACTTCATTGCCTTACACACAGTGTCACTCAGGGCACAAATAGAGAAACACCCTGGCCTAGGATCGCCCCTTCTGATCACTGGGAGCTGTTGAGGCAAGCAGCAAGGCATGGTAGGAAATGAGGCAAGGATAGATACTCCTGTCCTCGGACCATGACAGCAGTTAAATCAGGTGAAAACTGTTATTGAACCAATACCTTTACATCTATACGTCAGATGCATACTTTTCTTCTTACATTCTTGAGACTGCACCCTGAGGGTTCGGTATCAATATGCCTTGTTCTTTTGTTGTTGCCACAGGGATGGTTGTTTACACTGTATGTGTTTGTGTGAGTGTGTGTGGTACTTTGGCTCCCAGCTGACATACTGTAGCACGAGGCAGAACTAGTCTGAACAGGTCTGTGTGAAATTAATTTAAAGTCACTGTTATTGGAGTACGCTGTAGGCACAGGGTCGCTTTAAAAAGGACCATCTTTGGTGGCCAGCTGTTGACACCAACTCACGCTAATCAGTTTGCAAACAAAGTAATTTAGCCGCTTCAACATGTGCTCAGCCGAAGACGATCCTGGCTAACTCTTAATGGGGTTTTCACAGTAATTTGGAAGACATCATTAGGCTTAAGAAAATATATGGCCGACCCCAAACCCCATTATGCCTTAGACATTTCGAATCTCTTCATTGTTTCATTTTAGAAAGTGGCCAGTGTCATGTAAATGGCTTTTATTTTTGCCTCATCATGCTTTTGGTTAGGAGGGCCACGCGCTCAATGCCAGGCTGCAGCGCGGCTGTCTCCTAATACCTCACTGGGGTCTTTGTGCTGTCAGTCTCAAAGGCTCCGGGTAGCTCAGGGGTTTTCACAGCAGTGCCTCACAAACACACAAACACACACACAGCACCTCACAGCGAACTCAATGAACCCCCCGGGGCCCGGGCCTTGTCCCACCCCCCTCCCCTCCTCCGTTCCCCCTCTTCTCTTCTCCTCCATTCCCCTTCTCTCCTCTATCTCTGGCTCTGTCGCTTGTCTTCACAATCAGACCTGAGGCCAACTGGGCCTGCTCCCAGAACTGGGCTGTCAGGAGAAACAGCCTATAAGGAACTAGGCTAATGTCATGTGATGTGTGAAAAAGAAAGTGGTGGAAGAGAGCAGAGACAGAACTGACTGAACTGCTCCCTCTCTGGCTACCTGCTTTGGGCACCTTGTGGATGTTTGTCCACTTCTTTCTCCCTCTTAAAAATGACACTCAGATGTAGTGTTACATAACTTTCATTCACAGAGACACCCACAGAGACACAAGTTGGAAAACTATGCGTTAAACTTTGAGAATTTTGTCAACTTTTCTAACCTGCTCTTAAAAATCATGTCAGTTTATTCTCTTGATCCTTGACTGTACAGCAGAGATCATTAACTAGATTCAGCTTCGGGATTATTTTTTTCTTGACCGGATGGCCAGGGGGCCGGAACATAATTACAAATAATTTGTAGACTGCAAATTGACCGCAAGAAGCCCAAACAGATATAATATTTGACTAAAACTATAATAATTTCAAACTTACAGTTGAAGTCGGAAGTTTACATACACTTAGGTTGGAGTCATTAAAACTAGTTTTTCAACCACTCCACAACTTTTTTGTTAACAAACTATAGTTTTGGCAAGTCGGTTAGGACAAGTAATTATTCCAACAATTGTTTACAGACAGATTCTTTCACTTATAATTCACTGTATCACAATTCCAGTGGGTCAGAAGTTTACATACACTAAGTGGACTATGCATTTAAACAGCTTGGAAAATTCCAGAAAATTATGTCATGGCTTTAGAAGCTTCTGATAGGCTAATTGACATTATTTGAGTCAATTGGAGGTGTACCTGTGGATGTATTTCAAGGCCTACCTTCAAACTCAGTGCCTCTTTGCTTGACATCATGGGAAAATCAAAATAAATCAGCCAAGACCTCAGAAAACAAATTGTAGACCTCCACAATTCTGATTCATCCTTGGGAGCAATTTCCAAACACTTGAAGGTACCACGTTCATCTGTACAAACAATAGTACGCAAGTATAAACACCAAGGGACCACGCAGCCATCATACCGCTCAGGAAGGAGACGCGTTCTGTCTCCTAGAGATGAACGTACTTTGGTGTGAAAAGTGCAAATCAATCCCAGAACAACAGCAACGGACCTTGTGAAGATGCTGGAGGAAACAGGTACAAAAGTATCTATATCCACAGTATGGCAGCATCATGCTGTGGGGGTGCTTTGCTGCAGGAGGGACTGGTGCACTTCACAATATAGATAGCATCATGAGGAAGGAAAATTATGTGGATATATTGAAGCAACATCTCAAGACATCAGTCAGGAAGTTAAAGCTTGGTCGCAAATGGGTCTTCCAAATGGACAATGACCCCAAGCATACTTCCAAAGTTGTGGCAAAATGGCTTAAGGACAACAAAGTCAAGGTATTGGAGTGGCCAACACAAAGCCCTGATCTCAATCCTATATAACATTTGTGGGCAGAACTGAAAAAGCGTGTGCGAGCAAGGAGGCCTACAAACTTGACTCAGTTATACCAGCTCTGTCAGGAGGAATGGGCCAAAATTCACCCAACCTATTGTGGGAAGCTTGTGGAAGGATACCCGAAACGTTTGACCCAAGTTAAACAATTTAAAGGCAATGCTACCAAATACTAATTGAGTGTATGTAAACTTCTGACCCACTGGGAATGTGATGAAAGAAATAAAAGCTGAAATAAATAATTTTCTCTACTATTTCACATTCTTAAAATAAAGTGGTGATCCTAACTGACCTAAGACAGTGAATTTTTACTAGGATTAAATGTCAGGAATTGTGAAAAACTACGTTTAAATGTATTTGGCTAAGGTGTATGTAAACTTCCGGCTTCAACTGTAGCTTACATTTGTATACAATCATATTATTATGTGTGGGAATACTTTGGAACAGATTTCCAAAATTAAAATCACTTGGTGCTGATTTGCTGGTGTTTTTACAGTCTTTTATGTCCAATAATTATATATATTTTTTTGTGCTCACAAAACTTGGGGGGCCAAATAGTTGGGGAACCGTGCTGTAAAGTATAGATCACTATATATCACTAAACCCACATTTCCCTCTCTTCTTTTCTTGATCAGATGAGCTGGCTTCATCTCAAGCCTCTAAGTCCAGCCTCTACTTCCTCATCTCCAGTGAAGGGAACCAGAACCTGTATGTGTCTCAGGCCAACCTGTGGCTCTACTTCAGGCTGCTGCCCACCGGCTCCGAGAAAGGGCATCGACGAAAAGTCACAGTTAAGATCCACTACAAGGAGGCAGGGACTGGGACTGCAGGTGGAGCCGGGGGAGGAACAGGGCCAGGGGGAGGAGGTCGGTGGACCCTGGTGGAGAAACGTGTGGACCTTAAGCGCAGCGGCTGGCACACCTTCCCCCTGTCAGAGGCCGTGAGGGCTGTGTTTGGTAAGGGCGGCCGGCGACAGGACCTTGAGGTGCACTGCGAAGGCTGTGAGGCGTCCAACGTGGTTCCTATCTTAGTCGACCCAGCGGACCCCTCACACAGGCCCTTCCTGGTGGTCCGGGCGCGGCAGGTGGAAGGGAAGCACCGCATCAGGAAGAGGGGGCTGGAGTGTGACGGGAGCAGTGGAGGCCTGTGCTGCAGGCAGCAGTTCTACATAGACTTCCGCCTCATTGGCTGGAACGACTGGATCATCGCACCTGCGGGTTACTACGGTAACTACTGTGAGGGGAGCTGCCCGGCGTACATGGCGGGGGTACCGGGGTCAGCATCGTCGTTCCACACGGCGGTGGTCAACCAGTACCGGATGAGGGGCATGAGCCCCGGCTCGGTCAACTCCTGTTGTATCCCCACCAAGCTCAGCACCATGTCTATGCTGTACTTCGACGATGAGTACAACATAGTAAAACGAGACGTGCCCAATATGATAGTGGAAGAGTGTGGCTGTGCCTGAGACTGTCTGTGACTTTTTAAACTTTGAACTTTGAAAGTCAAATCAAACGACTATAGTTAAAAAGTATTGTACAAAATGACCTTTTTGTACTATACACATATATATATTTAGTTATATGGAAGCACACCAACAGGTACAAACAAACATGTATTAATGGATTATTTATCTGTCTGAGCGAGGCCAGTTTCTGTCCATTCCATATTAAGAACTTCAGAATGGTTCCAGAGTTTTGAGAAGAGAAGGGAATGGTTGATCACCAAATTATATTATTTTTCTAGTTTGCCATTTTTAGATGAAAAATAATGGTACTTAATCTCTTCGCTGATGAAGATGGAAATAAAAGCGCTTATTGGCCCAGTGCAGTCAAAAACGTGATTTTCGTGTGTTTTATATATATTTCCACACAATGAGGTTGTAATAATACTGTGAAATTGCAAAAATTATGATAATGCCCTTTTAGAGTAAGAGTGTTTTGAAAAGATGGAGTTTTGGCCTGCCTGGTGACATGAACAGGCGATAAATTAGTTAATAGACCAGTAAGAAAGAGAGTTACAAACCTCTCTGCCAATAACAGGTCGTTTCCAGTTTCCCCTCCCCACTCAGACCACTCCCAGACAGTCCTAGCATAATTATTGCTTGAGAAAATGCTCTTTGCTAAGAAGCTATTTTTGTTTCTTTTTGACCATTTTAATTCAAACAATCACAGTAAGGTACTTAATTGTTACCCAGAAATGATTTTATATTGAGATAAAAAGGGCTGCATTGGACCTTTAAGGAAGCTGACAGGTCCAGGATCAGCCAACCACACATTGGCTTCTTCCCCCTCCTGAGTACTGAAGCACACCAGGACATTGACAAAACAAAAGCACTGACAATGACAATTCATCGGCTAATACAATTAGAAACCCCAGCACTTCCATAAACTCTGTCATAAAGACACTATGACTGTCCCATCTGATCCGGTGGAATTATTACAGAAACTGTATCAGCCTGCGCTTATTATTGAATAAAGCCTTTCTGGGACTACACTCCTGTCCAAGTGAGGTGACGACACAACAATAACGTTGTTGACATGTTGTTGTTGACATTGGACCACTGCAGGCAATCACTCAGTTCAAAGGTGAAGATGGACCTTTGTGCACACTGCACTACTACACACACTTCATCCAGAGAACGCAGAGTCCACACTGCCCCTGCTTGTTCCGATAAAGTGGACGAGGAGGAGTCTCTTGTTAGGGGCCAACAGGGCATGATGGTGCAGTGTAGCACTTACAGACTAAACTCTTTAAATGCACACTCCCACTTCTAATAGCACTTGCATATTGAAATGCCTTCAAAGGGGTACTGAGTGTCCTGTCATAAATAAGTGCCACGTAATATATGCAATGTATAGTAACCCACCCATGCCCACGTATACAACTCTACCAGACTGAACTGATCTTTCTCCTCCTCTCCTAGTCTTTAACTCCTCTTATCAAATACTTGAAACGTGATCTTTCGCTTCTATTTTTCCAAAGCGAATGATTGTTAAGACATTTGCACTGAAAAGTTGCGTGATTAGTTAATAAACAAACTGCCATTGAAAAGTTATATTTTATAGAATTTGTTTTTGTTTTTTTTGTACAAAAATTATTTGACCTATTAATGGAACCAAAGAGGCCAATATTATTTTAGCTTATTATTATAATAAGATGGCGAGGCCATCACATTACTGTCTGTGTACAATACTGTTTGATAATAAGAGGCCTAATCTACGTATCAGGGTACAATATGATGATTCATTTCTTAGTTATATTATTTCCTTTCTCTATCTATTTTGTACAATAAACATGTGGAACACTTCATTTTTCATCTTAATTCTATATATATTTTTCTCCCGTTTTTTCTATTTAATAAAAATATATTTTTAGTTCCTGTTTCAGAATCATTTAGTCATATCAATGTCATCTGTACAGTTTATGTAAAATAAAATATGGTTTCTTAAAATATTTTGTAACTTTAAAATAAATGCTTACTCTGCATCATTATCGGATTCTCCAGTGTTGTGGTCAAAATCATTTTAGTGAGTCCTTTCAGGCACTCAACATTCAGCAGCCGCTAGGTATAAAAGTAGGGGGAAGGGTACACAACAAAACAGAAAGTACAAAACAAAGGAATATCAATAGCAATTTCCATCTATACTGCTCCATATGGATATACAGTATTAGCTACTGTCTGTCAGAACAGTACTAGTAGCTGTCCATCATTTGCTGAATGTAATACAGCTGATAGAGACAGTCACACACTGTACCAGGTTAATTCCTGAGGCTCCCCTGTCATTGTTGTGATGGTGGGTTGGGCTGGTCTCGTTGGGAAACAGCAGAGATCTGAGAGAGCCTAGATAAAGCAGCGTGTAGCCACATGGCCTTATTACATCACAGCCAGTGGGTTCCCCTGAAAGAGCCTTATCTGACTGTTGCTGTTTATCAGAGCCAGAAGTTAAGGTTGCCAACATGACAGGAGTAACTATGTGTCATTACCTTGTGTAAACAGAACGCGCCAGCACACCTACCAACGCGTCGCGTGTTTCTGCATGATCTCCTTGTACAACACAAGCAAAACACACACAAGCACAAACCGTTCAAAACATGCCACGTATTCCCAAAAACATTGCTGGAGATAATTGGTTGAAATGTATCCTTTTAAATGTGCCAAGTGGATGAGCTAAATAGCTACGCCTGACGCTGGCCTGTTGGGTGAATAGCATGTTTGGGACTGGGAGGGAGGGACTGCTCAACTAAACACTTTGCTTGAACTGAATGAGTCAGCATTCCACTGAACTACAGAGAGAGGAATAGAGAAAAAGAAGGAAGAGTAAAAGAGAAAAGTAGAATCAATATGTGAATGTGATGAGTGATAGACCTGCCCTCCACTTTTGTTTTGTCATTCCTGGGCCACGTTCAGATATAAATATGTTATGTGTAGAACAAACATGCCTACTCTGATATGTAGAGTAAGGACTCATGTCAGTTCCAGTTCTCTTCATTCCATTTCTATCTGCAAGGTTCCACAACATTTGACATTTGCCTACTGAACGTGCCACTGTTTGAGTGAATACGTAGAGAATGTGTCTCTGTACAGCGGCAGGCTGCAAGGAAAGAGCTGTAGCTGTTAGTGGTCTTGTCAGGCACCTCAATATTAGCGAAGCTGCCACAACAGGAATGTTAATAACACCGGGCGAGAGCTGCAGGCCATGTAGAACTGCACGCACATACACACTCACGCACGGTCACAAACACACGTACACACACACGTGCGCACGCACACACACACACACACACACACACACACACACACACACACACACACACACACACACACAGACACACACACACACACACACACACACACACACACACACACACACACACACACACACACACACACAGACGCTCAAACACACAGACGCTCTCTCTCACACACACACACACACACACGCACACGTCTCATACCTTCAGCAATCAGCTAAATCAAATAATACCCCTGCCCACTTCACTCCAACAACACATTGTGTTGAGGTCATGACAGATGCCTTGTTGACAGATGCCTTGTTGACATTTAGACATAAGTCTAAATGACTTTTTCTTAAAATGTGTTTTGAACGCATTATTCACTATTAATTTCAAGACAATTCATTGCCCAGAATACGGTGTAATAGGAGGCATTCCATTTCCCAGCAGTGTAGAGATCAAAACCTGCATTCTCTTTGATGTTGATGAGGGCATTTACAAAGGATTTCATATTATACAAGTTTTCTGTTGGTGAAGTTGCCTTGGCTGTACGAAACATACTATACTTTCTCAGCTTTGGCTTTTCGGCAGACCTTCAACAGATGTTCTCCATTGTGTTTGATCTCAAGATCACTATATAGAGCAATTCTGAGCTTAGTACACAACAGATTGTTCTTAGGTTTACTGTAATATTGGGGCTTGTTAGCTGTGTAGTGGATTTTTGTACTTTAGATACCATTTAAATAAACATACAGTTTCTTCTTAAGACCACGGACATTAACAAACAGTCAGTGTCTTAGGATCAACCTCAAGGCTTATTGTTCCCCTGTTTACCTCACCCTCCAACGCAGGGTGACATTGTGACCTTTGGAGCGACCTGCACTAGGAGCCACCAGCACACTCTCACAGGGGGATTAAAGCGGAGTAGAAGGGCTTTGAAGACTTGAAAACATATTTGCAAGCGGCTAATGAGCAGAAAGTTCATTAACCCATCACTCTAAGTGGTTGTGGTGCCTGTGCTCCCTCCTTATACCGCCCCTTCTTCTACTCTGTTTATGGATGAAACAAAAACAACAACTAAATATGCTACACTCCAGGTCAGCACATGGGGGGGGGGAGGTTGACACAGCAAGTCAACAATGTTAAGGTTGTTCCCTCTGTAGGAAAACAACTAGAGCCTTGTCACTAACCCTACCCCATCCCCCCTCAGCCAACCTTAGCTCCTAAACCCTCACCTCCTCCCCCTTCATCCTCTCACCCCCTCCTTCCTCCATCTTGACCTCCTTTCTTCCAGAGCACTAAGGTAGACTCAGGGCCACAAAGCTCACGTTTGTGTGTCGTTCAGTGGCTAGCCTAGCCCAGCTCTAGCCAGGGTAGGGATCAACTCCACAAAGCAAAGGAGCCCCCCTACCATTCCTTCAGGAGGGGCAGCACTGGCCATGGCTATGAAAGAGCTGATAGTCCCCTATGCCACATACACTGTATGTAAATAAATAATAAATAATACATCCATAAAAAAACAAAAAATGTAATGGCAAAAAATTACAGGTACAATTTCCATTATTTTACAGACAGTTACTTCAAAGAAATTACAGAAAACACTGTATAAACACAGAGTGTCCGTTAATAGATGGAGCTGATATTTGTATAAATCTTTTTACAGACATTCCAATTTATCCAAATATCTGTCTATTAATGGACAGTCACTGTGTTTATACAGTATTATCTGTA